GATTGAATTTGATATTTAAAGGGATATTGGCAAATGGTTTGTAGGATTATTCAAGCTTTGCAATAGAAAAACATTTACACACTTAGTATTTTCTACCAAAACTTCAAGAACATTTTGAAAGAAATTTGAATATGAAAGAAAGAAAATAAATTCTTTTTTAAAATGAAGATTTGATCTCAAGTTGATTGAAAGTTATATATTGATGTGATAATATATCATGTATTTATAGATTTGAATCAACAGTCACAAAATAGTGCCAAAAAACCATGAAAAGTTGCGAACTTCTCACCAAAAGCCCCCAAAAATTCAAACAAAAAACAGTCTTAACAGCTATTTTATAGTTCTATGCGACCACATAAAACAAACTTATATGATCGCATAAGTTAATCACTTGCAGGGCATATAACCCTGTACATCTCTACGCAACCGCAGGCCACAAAGACCTATGTGGTCCCATAGGCCAAAGTTTTGGCCTCCAAATTCTTTCTTCATTCTAAAGCCTATTTTATTGATTTTGAACAATAATTTCAACAATCCTTCACTTGTTTAATATTCAATAAAATCTCATATTCAGAAAATAAAATACGTATAAGGATTAAATATCTTTCAATTTGAATCTAAACATAGTGTAATTCAAACAAAATAAAGTCGAAATTAAAGGTAGCAAGAATGCTTTGAACCATTCATTCTTTGTAACAATACTCGTAAGAACTCACACGCAAGTACCACGTGTTCTCAAGTTCTTCAATCTCGTTTAGCGCTAATATGGTCTTGTGCTCATCCTATTTAACGAATTTTTTAAGAGAGAAACTCCAACTCTCTATTGAGGTGAGCACCACCTCGAAATTCATCTAGGTGAAATTCTTCCAATATCTTTGTTATTTTTAGAAATATTTGTACTTTAATGCTGAATTTCATTAAGAGCTTAAAGGTCAACCCTCATTTAAGTAACAACCAACATTATATTATTATGATAGAGTTATCGCGGATTTTATAATGTTGAAACTATTCACATATCGAATGACTTGTNATCGAATGACTTGTTGTTACTCTTTTACTCATGAATTACTTGTTAAATAATGATAGGTAAGGTTGCCATCATTGGTGAATCTTTTATTTTAAGAGTTTTAACTACATCCTACTCGAAGTAGATATTACAAAATCTCTATTTAGAATTTTAGTTAAGGGATCGACTAGATTCTCAATTGACTTAACATAATTTACGGAAATTATTCCACTCTTGATTAAT